AGTAATCTTCCTTGATAACATAAAATATCCTCTTGGTTTGTTTTTAATCTATACTTACCAATCAGCTACATTTTGGAAACCACACTGAATAAGACCCAGTAACTAGCATGGTTTTAAAATATTTTTTATAATAATTAAGGTTTTCTTTTTGCATTACATACATATGGATTATGGTAGGCTGACCATCCTCATTGCTTTCCCTGATGTAAGCAGATAGATTTCAGGTGACTGTAGCTTTTGACCTGAAACAAAATTACTGTCTCAGATGATTCCATACAAAGAAAGTCTACACTCACATTTATCTAAGTGGACATAGAAAGTTCAGCCACCAAATATTTTCCTAAATAAACAACATTTCAACAAGAAACTTCAGTTTCTTGCAACAACCCTCACAGGAATATTACTACAAGACAATATGAAATTCTCTACCAATACTGCAGATTAAAAAAGGTACTTGTTTACAAAAGCTTCCCCTATTCCTTCCAAATCCTACCCAGACTTCATGCACAGCCCCAGTTCAAATCTCACCTCCTTAAAGTTTTCCCTAACTACCCTAGTTGAAGCTGGCATGTTCTTCTCTTTTACTATTGATTGTCCTACTTCTATGTATCAATTATTTATCACATAGTTTTTCATGTACATTATATTCATTTGTATAAATGATGTACTATCCAACTAAAGTGCAACCTCCTTGAAGAAAAAGTTCAGTTCTGTCCTCTTATCCTCAGAACGTAGCATATCTCCTACACAGTATCTAATAAATATTTGTTGATTTATTGCTACCTCAACTAGAAAGTGAGCTCTTTAAAGAAACGTTTTCTGATCCCTGATTCCCAGTGATTACTCACTACATGTCACATACACAGCAGACACAGTAACGTCCCTTGGCCCAACTGATTTGAGGAGGTATAAGGGAAAGAGTAGCAGTACCATAGTCATGAAATTGCTATGGTTAAGTCCGCATTTCCCAGTTTTTCTTTACTCTACAAAAAGTACCTCCCTCCTCTCCCCTCAAAACACCACACAGATTAGTGTTCAATGGTCCTTTATGCTGGACCACCAACCAAAAAAGACACCACAGAATGTTTCCCCCTCAAGAATTTGAATCCCAAACTTCTGCTTGGGTAAAACTGTTAAGAAGTGCCTTCCACCAGACCATAGACTAGATTATATGTTGCTATATAGTACATCTACCACTACTGCACTGAAAACTGAAAAATGTAGATATAATGGGGTTCTGTACTATCTTAAAAGCTCAGTCAACAAACATTTAATAAGGGCCTGCTATGTGCCAAGCACTGTGCTCAGCTAAACAAATCATGCAAAAGTTATTTAGGACAAAGATGTTCTAGAGGATAAAGTGTAAAATCTTTGTCAATATAATATCCTTACACTGTTTAAACATCCAAGTCTGGATGATTAAAGAGGGACAGGACCAATTATTTTTATTCTGAATGGACTCAATACCAAATCAATCATTAACATTTATTAAGCCCAGGCACTGTGCTAGGTGCTAGAATACAAATACAAAGAATGAAACAATCCTTACTTGTCAGTGGCTTACATTCTAACAGGGAAACAAGTCCAAATACAAATATACACAGACTAAAAATAAAGAATAAATACAAATAAACACAAGGTAATTAAAGATGGATGGAAGGCACTAGCAGTTGGGGCGGGATGATGTGGAAATTAGGAGACAAAGGAAAGGAACAATTCTACTAAAGCTGAAGTGAACATGGAGTGTATTACACGTTGTGGGGGGGGGGAATGAGGGAGAAGGAGAACAAGGACAACAAGGAAACAAGCATGTATTAATAGATGGCACAGTGTATAGAGTGGTAGGCCTTAAGTCAGGAAGACTTATCTTTCTCAGTTCAAATCTGGCCCGAGACACTTCCCAGCTGTGTGACCCTGGGCAAGTCACTTAACACTGTTAGCCTCAGTCTCATCTGTAAAATGAGCTGGAGAAGGAAATGGCAAACAACTTCAGTATCTTTGCCAAGAAAACCCCAAATGGAATCACAAAGAGTCAGGCAGGACTGAACAACTTGTGCTAGGCACTGTGCTAAGTGCTTTACAAGTATTATCTCATTTGATCTTCACAGCAACTCTGTGAGGCAGATGCTATTCTCCCCCATTTCACAGCTAAGGACACTAAAGCAAAGGTTAAGTGACTTGTCCAGGGTCACACAGCTAGTAATCATTTGAGGCTGAATTTGAACACAAAACTTCCTGACTTGAGGCCCTGTGCTCTCTCCATTGTGCCACTTAGCTGCTTAGGTGGACAACCAGAAGAAAGTCAGAGATGGAAGATGGAATGCTATATGTGAGGAGCAGAGAAAATATTTGGCTAGACAGCATTTTCATCATGTGAGCTCCACAAGAACTGGCATTGCTGTGACCTGTCTTTGAATCACCAAATCTTAGCAAGGTGCCTGACACATAACAGATGCTTAATCAATTTTCTTGATTCAACTTAGTAATAGCTAGCATGCATATAGTGTTTAATGTTTTGTAAATATGTAATTTTTGTACATGTTATCTTGTTCCTCATAGCAATACTTGGGGGGTGGGCATGTTACTATTATTACACCCTTTTCAGAAATGAAAAAACTGAAGCTGAGGGAGGTTAAGTGACTTGGCCAGAGTCACTGAGCCTGCTTGAACTCAGGTGTTCCTGTTTCCAAGTTCAGCACACAATTCACAAAGCAAAATGGAAAATTGAATCAGGGTGACATTGTGAAAGGTTTTAAAAACCATTTAGTCTTTAAAACAATTTATTTTTTTCTTCCTGGAGGCAATAGGGAGCCACTAGAATTTATATGTGACACTGACAGATCTGCTCTCAGGATGATGCCTTCAGTTTCTTTTCCTGTTGTAATCACAGAAGTTGGAAGGTTAAGTATTAGACAACTGGAAAAAAAGATGATAAGGTTTAGTAGATAGTTTAAAAGGTAAATAAAGAACCTCAAAAGGGGGGCTCCCTGTCACTTCTAGGATACAACACAAACTGCTCTAACTGGTACATAAAGCCCTTTAAAATCTGGTTCCTACTTATCTTACCTTTCCAACATTGTTTCATATTATAGCATCCACCCCCATTCCCCTTCCTAGCACTGACCATGCCACTTAAAGTAGCTTGCTAACTGTCTCATCACTTATATTACATACCATCTCGTATCTCTGTACCTTTGTGCCCCATTCTTGGTGTGCACTTTCTCCTCACCTACACCTTTTAAGAAAGGCAGATTCCAAGCATAAGATCAGGTGTAATTTCCTACTTGAAGCCATTCCTGATTTCTTCCCAAGTTCCCTTATTAACACCCTTTCCTTTTTAAAAATTGCTTTGAATTTATTTGAGTTCATATTATCCCTCAAACTAGAAAGTATGCTCCTCCCGGGGCCAAGTCTATCTTTTTTTGTCTATATCCCTAGGATCTCACAGAGTGCCTTGAATATAGAGGTAACTTGATTTTTGTATGCTGAGAAGTAACAGCAAAAAAATTCAAGTCAGTATAATCCTATAAGTGATGGCTGAAACACTTTAACACTTTTAAGATGATTTGTATATATAAGCCAGAACAGGACCATAAAGCACGATCTTTACAAAATGACTAGTCTGTTCTAAGGAGGATTTTGGGGAAAAAAGACAAAACTTCGTGGGTCTTGAGAAGAAAAGGGGACTGAAACACCTTGCTCAGGTCAGTATTAAGAGGCATAGTATACTGACGATATAATTTGGAACAAAACTGTCTTTCAATTTTCTGAATATTGTTTAATATGCAACCGTGTGTCTCTCTTCTCCCAAGTTAAGAACAAAGTTCCCCCAGGAGAAAGATTAACAGGTGTATCTTTAGAAATGGATCAAGGAGAAAGCCTGTAAAATTCCCTAAAATGCACTATAATCCCACATTATGCTTCATTTCTCATCAGCAAAACAAACTCAGTGATATCTTCTCATCAAGCCTAGTGGTACAAGATTTTTATCCCCAGTACAAACAGTTGCAGAAAAAGAATATGATATAAGGTCGGGGGGCGGGGGGGGGAACGACTAATAATGGATGAGACATTGCCCAAGGAGGGAAATAGGGAACAGGTGAAGGTAGGGCTCCCAACATAATCCACTAAGTTAAGTAATTCCTGCAGGCAACTAAGACACCTTGGCTGAAGGAGCCGTCCTCCGGCCTCAGACTCAAACCGAGTCCGGGGCTTTGCGGCCTAGCTCTTCCTTGCTTCTCCTCTTCCGACGCCGCCAGGGAGGGGAAGCCTGATGGACAAGACACCTTGGAAGGAGGCAGACAGAGAAGATCGAGGTGGGGGTCGGGGACTGAAGGAAAGAAGGCGAGAAAAGAAGGAAAAAAGTCGCCGGTCCTGACTCCTCTTCGCCCAGGGGCCCAGGACGGGCTTCGGAGCCTGAAGTGAGCGCCCGCTACCCCTCCCCCCACACCTCTCTCCTCTAACCTTCCCCGCGGCTTCTAACCGCTCCTCCACCGCCCCGCACGAGTCCCGGCGCGAGGCACCAGCGGCCCTGCCCTCCCCCTCCCCCAGCCCCCCGCAGCGGCAAACCGCCGCGCGCACCTCCAACCGCTCGTGCGACCTCTCTGGGGCCCTGTCTCCCAACTCATCCCCCTCCCAGCCGGCTCGGCCAACGCCGCGATGCGTGGCGCGAGACGCAGCCCCGTAGGCCCGGGGCTCCGCACCCCACCCTCGCCCCCCCGCCGTGAGCGCGCTCGGCGGCTTCCCAGGCCCCGTTACTCTCCCAGCCGAAGCACAGCCAGCTCCGCTGAGGAGAAGCGGGCCCGCGCTCCGCCGGCGCCCAGTCACAGGGAGCGCTCACTCCCCCCGCCCTCCGTCCGGGCCCCGGCTTGTCCGGCCCGGAGAAGGCCTCACCCGACCCTAGGCCCGGACGTACCGCTCCACCACCAACCCCCCCCCTCCGCCGCCCGGTCCGCGTCTGAGGCGGATAACGGCGGCGGCGAGAGCAGAGAGATACTCACTCAGGGGTGGGGTGTTCAGGGTCATAGAAATCCCCCATCTTCGGTGGCGGCGGCAGCGGCTGCTGCTGCTTCATCGGGAAGAGCTGGAAGCGGCGGCGACGGCCCAAACCCCCTCCCCGAAGGCAGGGGAGACACGGGGGAGGGGGACGGGAGGGGGAAGCAGGGGAGGGGGGGAGGAGAGGAGGCGGCTTCTCCGGCGGCGGCGGCGGCGGCGGCGGCAGCGGCGTCGTCGGCAGAGACGCTCACACACGCAGCCACCCCGCCCCCCTCGCAGGCGCCGCTGCCGCCTCCTCCCCACCCCCCCGGCCCCTTAAAGAGATACACACTCGGGTCGCACGGGAGACGGAGGCCGCAGCTGGGGGCGCCCCCTCCCGTCCGGTGGGCCGCGGGAGGCGGCTGGGCCCTGGGGCGGGGCGCCGCTCAGGCCACGGTGCCTCCCCAGCACCACCTCCGCAGCCCACCCCCGGCCGAGCTCCAGGTGGGTTCTCCCGCTGCCTGGCGCAGTCCCGGCCGCTCTTCGCCGCCCCCTGCCGGCGGCGCAGCCAATCCCAGCGTGCTTGCTCTCAACCGAGCTTCGCAACCCCCCCGCCCCGCCCCCAGCCGGAGAACGCGTCCCGGCCCCGCTGCTAGGGTGAGCCTGGGGAGCAGCGGCGTCCTCCCCGGGCTATCTCCCCCGCCCACCTCTTGTCACCTCTTCCTCTTCCTCCTCCCCCCCTCCTACTTTTCTTCCTCTTCCCACCCTTCCCCCTTTCTCTTTCCTTTCCCTTCCTCCCACTTCCCATTCCCCTCCTTTTCCCTGCCCCCACCTTGTTTCCCTTGCCTCTTTCTCCCCTTCCTTGTTTCACTCCTTTCTTCTCTCCTTCTCCTCGATTCCCACCCAGCAGGGCCCCCCCAGCCTGGGAGCGTTGGCAGCCTCGTGGAGGGGGAGGGGAACGGCTGTGGAGGGTCGCCAGTGAGGTCGGTCGGTCCGCTGTTAGGCATTGTTTTTACTGGTTTTCTCTGGACACCCCCTCCTCCCCCTCCCTGGACCGTTGCCTGCTCCACTCCCCCCCTTTCTTTCCTTCCTCCCCCCCCCCCGCGTCCTCCTCCTCCTCTAGGGAGGAGGGGTGACAAGTGCGGCCGGACCCTCTGGGCAGAAGTCGGTGCACGCCGGCCCCCCTCCCCTCGAGCTGCCGCCTTTTTGTTTGTTTTCTCTCCAAGAATTTGTTTCAGAAATCCGGCAGCCCAGGAAGTTGGCAAGAATCTAAACTGTTATGTGATATTCCTTTCCTCCGCCCTTTTTACGGGACTGGTCCCCGGACAAGTCTAGGGCCAGAGACTTAGAATGGAAGGGAAACTTAGAGGTCGTCGGGGCCACTAGGCCTAGGCAGATGACGTCTATTGCCAAAGGTCAGGTAGTTAGAAAGGGGTGTAGTTAAGATTTGAATCCAGTCCCTGCATAACAGAAGATCCCTCCATTGCACCAGTGAGGGGAAGGGTGGAAATTAAGGCTTTAGGTTTCTGATCTTTAGACCTGAAATGGCACTACTTTTTCTTTAGTTACCCAAAGTATCTCCCCGTCATTACACCTTTTTCTTAATATCTTTTTGGAATTTCATTTTTCTCCACATGTTCCCGACTTTGCCTTTGCTTTGTCTCTCAGTCCCCTACCCCTAGAATTTCCTGACCCCAGGAATTCTCAGCTGTACCATATTGTAAACTAAAGGGGTTTTCTTGTATTTTCCTTCAGGCAAAGGAGGTAATTTCCTAAGAAGGGTTATTAACGGTGTCTCCCATAGATATAATAATAGCTCCCATTCATATAGTGCTTTACCAAGTGCTTTTCTCAATATAGCCTTGTGAGGTAGATATTAGAAAAGAAGATAACATTAACCAGAATTGCTTAAGGGGCTGGAGGTTGCTTTATTAGTAAAAGAAAACCAGTAAGACCTCAAGAGCTAGTTAAACCTTGATCATTTTTGCTTTTGTCGCTTGATGATTTTAACGTTTAAAAGTGATGCTTTATTTTCTCCATAAAAAAAATAGCGTGGGGGGAAAGGTTGGTCAAGACTATGTGCCAAAGATAGTGAAATGAAACTGAATAGATGTTTGCCATCAAGTTAATCAGTAAAATTTGGGGGAGGGAGATAGAACCTTTATGATGCATCTGAAGATTTTCATTGCCATTAGATTTAAGGTTGGCAGTTTACCTTATTCAGTTTCAGCATTTTATGTCCCATTTATGGAACAATGTGCATTTTCAAAACATCTTAGAGTTAGCAGTTCTAGTATCTCAGCAAAGCATGCCATTTCTAACATTCACATTTTTTTAAATTGAAAAATCCCTTTAGTTACTCAAAACTATAAAAAAGTTACTAGCAAAATCAAATCAACGATGATGTATTGAGTACCATCTGTGTTCAGGATTTTGAGACGAATACAAAAATATTGGCTTCTGCTTTCAAAAAGGCAATAGGGAGCTATTAAAGGTTTGTAGGTAACAATAATAATAAAACTAACATTTATGAAGTACTTTAAGGTTTACAAAGTAATTTAGCTATGTTATGCCATTTAATCAAAATAAGGCCACTTCTCTGATGACAATTCCCTGTTGGACAAGCTCCTCAGCTGAGTGTTCAAGGCCCTTCATAATGTGGTTCCAATATACTTCTCTAGCCTTATCTCAACCATGTCCCTTTTAATTTACCCTAGCTACTGAATTACTGAATGTCCCTCAAATATGGACTGGCTCCAGCCTACCTTTTCAGATTTATTTCACATTACACTCCATAGAGCATTCAGCTGTTCAGGCAAACTGACCTCCTTAGAACCTGAACTCCAAACTCACACCCCTTTGTACACCCTGTATTCCCTCCTCACCATAGCCTCCTAGAATCCTGGGCTTCCTTCCCAGGTCAGCTCTGGTGTCCCCTCCATGTAAGCACTCACCTTCCTTATAGGAGAGTTATGTTTCTCATCTCATGGTACTCTATAATTCTCTTATCTGCATCCTCATTGCAATTCTCATTTGCATCCTAATCCTTACTGAATTATAAACTCCTTAAGAGCAGGAATGTATGGCATATTTGTACCAGATCTTAGCACATTGCATTGCACAAGTTATTGACATCTAGTACTCCTTCCTCACCACTCAGCCCCTTGCCATCTGACTTCTGCCCCTACTAGTCCACTGAAATTGTTCTCTCAGTCACCAAGTCTAGGGGGTTGGTTGGTTGGCTTTTTTCCTTGTCTTTATCCTCTTTGACTCCCTTGAAACATTTGACACTACTGATTACCCCTGTCCTCCCAGATCTCGTTTGGCATCAGAACATCACAACTTCTTGGTTATTCTTACCTCTCTAAATACTTCTTGTCTGTCTCCTCCATTGTCTCTGTCTTGTTTATAAGAACTCTAAGGTCCTTTTCGCAGCCCTCGTTTTTCTTTAAACTCTGTCCCTTAACTATCACATTTACTCTCATGATTTCAGCTATGACCTCTTTGCAGATGACCCCCAAATCTCAGGTCCTGATCTCTTCAGCTCTGAACCTTTTATCTGTAGCTGTCTACAAGATATCTCCACCTAAATGTCATACTTGGACCTCAAACTTAACCTGTCTAAAAATAGTACTTAGCTTTCCTCCTCAAGTGCTCTTTCTGATGTCACCATTTGTTAATGAGACTCCTAAATATTCAACTTAATATCACCCCTGACTCTTTTCCTTTGACACACTTCTCACCAAATCACTTCCAAATCTTGTGGATTTTGTCACTGTGAACTGTCCCATCTGACCTTCCTTTCAATTCAGGTGAACTTGATAAGCACTTATTAAGTGCCTGCTCTATACCAGGCAGAGGCTGGGTAGCTAAGTGGTGAAGTAGATAGAATGCTGTTCCTGAAATCAGGAAGACTCATCTTCCTCAGTTCAAATCTGGCCTCAGTCACTTAGCAGCTCTGTGACCCTGGGAAAGTCACTTAGCCCTGTTTGCCTAAGTTTCCTCGTCTGTAAAATGAACTGGAGAAGGAAATGGCAAACTACTCCAGTATCTTTGCCAAGAAAACCCCACATGGGGTCACAGAGTTGGACACGACTGAACAACAACTATCCAGGCACTGTAATAGGTGTTTGGGATACAAAAAAACAAGCAAAACAAAAACAAAACAGCCCCTGCCTTCAAGGAACTCTCTGATTCTTGTAGGAGTGGGGTGGGGAGCACAACATATACACATATAAGTAAATGCATAATATATACAAGGTAATTTCCAGGGAGAATTCTACCATGAAGGGTAGATTTTAAAGGATTTTAAAGGGCATAATGAAAGCATAAGGAAAAGTAGGATCAGGACACTGGAAGATGATGGATGAGGTAGCAAGATGGCTGGAGAAGGGAGTTTTGGCTTGTGCATAATCCTGCAAATCAGAATCATGGGGATTCTGAGTAGATTTTTAAGGCAATAGATAGTCACATTCCTAGAGACAAAAATAATGATTGGACCATCCTTGAGAAAAGTAGGGAGTATCAGCAGGTCAGCTATCCAGTCCTTTGACTTGTATGATGGGTCAGGGAACAGCTCAGTGGTGTCCTGGAGCTAGGCTGATTATAGAAGGCTGAGGTATGTCTGAGGTTCACCCTCAGCCAGGGCAGCTCCATACCGTCTTTACTTCTACTGCAACCACTGTAGTACAAATTCAGTTACCTCCTGTGTCAGGTACTGCAATGGCCTAATGGGTACTACTACCTCTACTGTCTTCCTTTTTCTTTGTTATGATGCCACACTTTTCTTGGGGGGGGGGTGTGAGGCAACTGAGGTTAAGTGACTTGCCCAAGGTCACACAGCTAGAGTGTATCATGTATCTGAGACCAGATTTGAGCTCAGGTCCTCCTGACTGCAGGGGCAGTGCTTTATCCACATCGCCACCTAGCTGCCCCTCACACTCAGCTTCTTTATGCCTAAAAATGGTCATTTGGTCTTCTGCTTTCAGTGCTTCCCTATTACCTAGTAAAATTCAAACTCCTTTGCCTGGCATTTGAGACCCTCCACAATCTGGCTGTACCCTATCTTTCCATTTTTTCTTTTCTCTTCATGAAATCTAAGCACTAGCTAAATGACTCCTCAAACATGCTGTGCCCTTTCTCACCTTCATGCTCTTGTTCATACTGTCCCTATACACAGAATGTCATCCCTCCCCCTTTCATCCCTCCCCCTTTTTAATTTATTTAATGAATACTTGCCCATCCTTAAAAGCTGACACAAATGCCACTTCCAAGACACCACCTGAATTTTCCCCATTGTTAATGACCATTGCCCTACAAATAGCATTTATTTCATTGGAACATCTCTAATATACTTTTTAATGTATTTTGCAGTATTTATGCATGTTTTACATATCTTTGCTAAACAGTGAACTTCATAAGGGTAGTGACCAAGTCAAGTCAAATTGACGAGCATTTCTTAAGCATCTATCTGCCAGGCACTGCACTAAAGCTGGGGATACAGA